TACTAAATAAGGAAATGTTCTAAACTCGTTTAAAGAAATGATATATGGCCGGGCGGTGGTGCATGCCTTTAATCGGGAGGCAGAGACAGGTGGATCTCTGTGAGTTCGAGGCCAGCCTGGTCTCCAAAGCGAGTTCCAGGAGAGGCGCAAAGCTACACAGAGAAACCCTGTCTCAAAAAACCAAAAAAAAAAAAAAGAAAAAAAAGAAAAAGAAAAAAGAAAAGAAAAGAAAAGAAACAATATATGATATACATCACTTCTTCTGGTGACAGAGAAGCTACTGTGTGTGTTTTGGGAGCTTGGTCAGGAGGACCGGATTCTGTGGCGAGCCTTGGATACATAAGTGAGACTTCAAAAGCAAGAAGCAGAAGAGGGCAGACTGGAAAGAAGAGAAGAGGGTGTCTTCTCCCAGCCAAACTGAATTCAGGGAAGTTGAACTTGAGAGGACGTCTCTGGGCTCCTGAGCTGTGCACGGTGATTCTGGCTTGAAGAATCGATTTCTAAGAAAAGATAAAAGGTTCTTCAGTAAGTGAAAAAGATGTTGGCTGGTGAGGATGCGTTTTTAGCTCTCTGGATTTAAGAGCTGTCTTTCTTATTGTTGTATTATGTGTAACTTAACCGTCAAAAATCCTTTCAAAGCATACTTCAAGACTATGAGGTACATTCCCCCACTCGTCCAAGACAACACATTGCCCAAACTCTACTTAGCAGTGAATCACAGAGATGCAGCTGGCTCCCTAGACCTCTCATGGACCAGTTGGTGGTTGGACAGACGGACCAAGGCTTCTTAAGCATCTCCCACCCACAGCCCCTTTTAGTCTGAAAATTTTCTCTGTAACCCCAGGTATGTGAGTATGAAAAATAGGCACACAACTCAAACACTTAAAAATAAGAAAACATAAAGAAATTTACTTTAAAAAATTATTAGATATACATGTAAATTAACCTATTTTGTTTGTTTGTTTGTTTGTTTGTTTGGTTGGTTGGTTTGGTTTTGTTCAAGACAAGGTTTTTCTTTGTAGCCGAGGAACTCGCTCCGTAGACCAGGCTGGCCTTGAACTCACACAGATCCACCTGCCTCTGCCTCCCCAGTGCTGAGATTAAAGAGATGTGCCACCACCGCCTGGCAATTTTACCATTTATTAAAGAAAGAAGCAAATTAGCATACTGAGGAAAATGGACTCATTTTACATATAGAATTAAATTTTGGCTAAATATTTGATACTGCAAGATGTATATCTTTAATGTTTTCTAGACTTAGTTACTATTTAGATTTTATAGTCATCAATATGAGAACACTGGTTCATATAAATATGTGGGACAAATTTAGAGTAAGTTCAGAAATCATTGGACATTCTGTCCTCATAGCAAGACAAATCCATTGAGCAATTTTTTTATGGAAGTCAACCACATGAATAGCAACTTTTGTTATCATCTATCTATCTGTGTGTGTGTGTGTGTGTGTGTGTGTGTGTGTGTGTGTGTATGTGTTTTGGAATACAGTCTCATGTAGCCCAGACTAGCTTTGAACTTGTTCTTTAGCCCAGGCTGGGCTTGAACTCCTGATTCTCCTACCTCAGCCTTCCAAGTGCCAGGATTACAGATACATGCTACCATGTCCAGTTAAACAGCACATTTTTTTTCTTTTTTATTGTGTGTGTACCTGGTATGTGGTTTTGTGTTTGTGTGCATGTGCACATGCAACCACGTGTGTGTAGAGTCCTGAGACTGACATTCGATACCTTCTTGATTTCTCTCCACTTTCTTTCCTAGGCAGGGTCTTTCCCTGAACCCAGAGCTCACCAGTTTGGCTCCTCTAGCTAGTCAGCTTGCCCTGAGGAGCCCTTTCTCGGTCTCCCACCCAGGACTGGGATTACAGGCAGGCTACCATGCTCTCCTGGGTGTAAGGAGAATATGAGGGATGCGAACGTGGATGAGGAGCACTTACCCACTCAGCATCTCCTCAGCCCCCAAACAGCAATTTTCTAAAATCAAACATTCTAACATGATATCACCTGGAATGATACATGCTGGAAAAAGATGGTAGGAAAACACTAAAGTCTTTGTTTTTCATAATTAAACCATTACACTTCTATAAGCAAAGAAAAACTGAGTATGTACAGTAAAAAAAAAACACTGCAATTACAACACAGCAATCTCAGATCTCACCCAGGTGTTTGGAGCAGGGTTTTGCTGGCCTTGGGAGGTGCCACAGGTGCACACAGAGTGCGTGAGTCGTGTCCAGAACCAAGGCCGCAGTGAGGTCGCCCGCCAAAAACACTTACACTCCATTTGACATTTGATTTTGAATTAAGTTTTTGGTTGCTTGCACATTCTGAAAGCTTGTACTATTGCCAAATTTGCTATGATCCCCTCATTCAGGTCTGTGGCCCTCAATTTAGGAAGCTGGAGGGGGCAGGCAAGCACAAAAGCGAAAGCAAACACAAGCTGTGGCCTCAGAGAGTACTCCTGCACCCAGAGCCACACAGGAGCCTGGGGCCTGGGGTGGGAGCGCTCCTTCCTCCCCGGCTGGAGGGAAGGGCAATGCCAGAGCACCAGCCCAGCACTTACGGCTGCTCTCCCCCTCCTCCCCGGCTTGGGGCCAGACCAGAATATTCTGACAGCTCCAGAAAGTCACAGTCGCTGTGGGCTTCGTGTTCCAGTCTGTGAAAGGAGACCCACAGACAGGTACCATGGTGTCTTGTTGTTTCAGCGTGGGAAATGGAACTCAGGGCTTCCCATGCGCTAGGCTCTCCCACGGAGCCACACCCCCTAGCCCCGTGGAAATATGGATATGTAGCAAAACCCGCACAAATTTGTGGTGAGGTTCCATGGGCCACACAGAAGCAGATGGCATGGTAGACGTCTATCAGGACACTGGGCTGGTCACGGGCCGTGCTGTCTCGGATCAGAACCAGTGAATGCTGCTCTCAGGATCACAAGTAAGGTGTAGACCAGAAGGGGATGTGGCTCACACGGGCAATGGTCAAGGGTGGGTTAGGGGTCACTGCCACAACTTCAGTCATCTAAGGCCTGAGGGTTTTCTGGGAGGCCTGAGATAGGCAGAAACTGAAGGTATAGAGGGATAAAGTACATCCAAGACAGCATATATCGTCAAGCTACGTTTTCTGGCTGGGGTCCTCCACCCTTTTGGTGCGCCAAGTCTGGGCATGCTAAGGAAGAAACTGAGTCACAGGTGCTCTTCTCAAAACGGGGCTCTACCGCCCTCACCTCTGACTTTCTCTGGAGAGCCTTGAGTCGGGGAGCAGGGAGCACCTGGGGAGCACCTGGGGAGCACCTGGGGAGCACCTGGGGAGCACCTGGCGAGCAGGCACCTTGTGCAAGCGCTGGCTGAGGCCCAAGCCCTGTGAGGCTCCCAGTTCTCCTAGAGCTTGCCCGTGTCAGCCTCCTCTGTGGGTTCTTCCTCCTCGTTCTCATCTTCCTCCCTACCAGCAGGAGTGACAGGTCATGTGTGGGGTGTGTGCGTGCGTGCGTGTGCGTGCGTGTGTGCGCGCGCATGCACGTGTACGTGTGTACATGTGTTACGTATGTGCATGCATGTTTGTTGCACACCTTGCTACATTCTGAAAACAAATCTGTGGGGGGAACACCACTGCCACCATCGTCCAGGTGAGGAGACCCGGGCTCAGAGCAGGCCTCAGCGGTGGAGGGCATCATGGAATTCGCTTCATACTAGGTTCTCAGCCCAGCTCAGCCACCAATCTTCTGGGACACCTTGGATAACTAACCGGCCCTCCCTCGGCCTCAGTTTCCCCCCTTTAACCGTAGCATAAGTCCCTCCACTCCACACTCATGAGTCCCTCCCAAATTTCTGTTCCTAGCCGGCCAGGAAGACTAGATGCATTGAGCCCACACGCCTTTGGATCCCCCAAAGAAGGAGGAGGCCTGGGGTGGGCCTGTCTTCTAGGCCTCAACAGTCACAGCAGCTGTGACAGCAGGGTGGCCTCACCTGAACCCTGACCAAGCTGAGTGGCACCAAAACTGAAGAGTCACCAGCAGGCACCATGGCTTCCTTGGGCCTCAGGGCTGGCTATGCCACGGAAATGCCACAGAAATGCCTTCTTTCTGTGGCGAGGGTGGCCCTGAGCTGAAGGGTGGTTAGTATATGGAGTCTGCTGCAGCCTCAGAGGCTCTGGATTCGGGGACCTGCTTGCCTCAAAATGCAAACAGCACTGCCAGTGGCTGATGGCACCTGAGTTCCTCCCGAGAGGCAGGCCCTGCACTCACGCGCTCTCTGTTCCGTCAGATCGTTTCAGCGTCTCACTGATAGAGACAGACCAGAAACATCCCATCCCAGAGACAGGGGTGAGGGCGGCTGAGCAGAAGCCCCCATCTTCCTCAGGTGATGCCACCACGCAGGACCAGGGTCCCAGGGTCACTGAGCCACCCTGGGCTCCAAGCAGTTCGAGTTACTCTCTGGCCGGGGCTCCTGGGGGAAGGTGAAGCGTAATGACTTATGGGCAATTAACTGCCAGAAAGCAAGCCCGAGATTTTTTTTTTTTTTGCCTTGGAAATTTGTCACAGGCCATCCAGTTGTTTTCCATCCCCTTCTAGAAGGAAGACCGTCCAGCCCGTGGAGGGGCAGCTCCGGCAGTTCCTCGCAGTCCGTTTTGGATGAGGCATTGCCCCTTCCTTGACCAGCCTCTCAGTCAAGGAGAAGGTCAGTGGACACAGTCTCCTCTGCAGGAACTGGTGCTGGTGGGGGTCACTGTGGGGGCCGGGGAGGCCCGGGGGCAGCTCCCTGGGGTAACTGAGGGAAAACAGGGGACGTCAATCCTTATCTGGAATTCATTAATGAGGAGAACATTAGTCAGCTGTGAAGGCCAAGATGGTACGATAGGCCATTGGGTGGGAAGGGGCAGGGGTGGGGGCAAGGCCACCATGGGAGAGCGTGGTATGGGCAGACACACCTCCTCTACCCCACGTGTCCAAATCCAGGCTAGAAAGGCCCTATAAGTGCCCAAGGCGCAGCCTCCGCAGAGGCCCAGAGAAAGAGAGGACAGAAAGAGAGAGAGAGAGAGGGTGAGGAAAAGCCACCCCCGTGGCCGGGGCTCCGAGGGCTGAGCAGCATGTGGGAACTCCGATCCATAGCCTTCTCCCGGGCCGTGCTGGCCGAGTTCCTGGCCACGCTCCTTTTCGTTTTCTTCGGCCTTGGCTCAGCCCTCCAGTGGGCCAGCTCCCCACCCTCTGTGCTCCAGATCGCCGTGGCCTTTGGCCTGGGCATTGGCACCTTGGTTCAGGCTCTGGGCCACGTCAGCGGGGCCCACATCAACCCTGCTGTGACCGTGGCCTGCCTCGTGGGCTGCCATGTCTCCTTCCTTCGAGCGGCTTTCTATGTGGCTGCCCAGCTGCTGGGGGCTGTGGCCGGGGCGGCAATCCTCCATGAGATTACTCCGGTAGAAATCCGCGGGGACCTGGCTGTCAACGCTGTGAGTAGCCTGAGCTTTGCCCCTTCTTGGAGGGGCAGACGCTGAGAAGCTTTGTGCAGGATAAGATGTGTGGGCCAGGCTGAGAGGGGAAACCGCCGATGACTTGAAACACAGCTACCTCAGGAGAGCTGAGGAGAGAGCCGCCCAGTGACCAGGAGCAGAATCCTGGCTGCCACCTGTGGGGCCTTCCACCCAGCGCCACCGAGGGAGAGCAGGCTTGGGTTTCTGTTGGACTCCTGAGGAGGACTAGGGTAGAGTGCAGCCGGACAGCACCCTAGTACGGACAAACAGGCCCTTGGGGCCTCGGGAACTTCCGAGTGCAGTTGCAAAGATCTAGAGAGGAAGGGAAGAGGTATCTCCATAGCGCAGACTGTGTGAGGACTGAACAGTTCCTCATGAGCCAAACACTGACAGCTTTGTAAGGTAGGGGCAGGCTCAAGGTGGTGGGGGGCAAGGGGGCGGGGTGCCCCTAAATCCCCAAACCCTGATTCAACCACAAAACCCATAATCTCTCCCTCAACCAATTGTCCTAAGCATCGTCTGGGCTTTGTCTCGAAAACCACGAAACAGACTTGGGAAGGGAAGCAGTCGATCAAATGTTCTAGAGTTTGTTCGTGCCAGAATTCCCAGAACCTAACAGGAGCCGGCAGGGGAGACTCCTGGAGCTTGCCATCTGGTGGTGCCTTCATGTTATGGTGGTGAACAGCACCTGGGGCACCTTGAGAGAAGATGGAGCCATGGTGCCTCTCCTCTCCAATCTGTGCAGGTTTAGGAATCTAGGGATCCCTTCAGCACAACCCGCACTCCGTACCCCTACCCCAAACCAGGAAAGCAAGAACCCCGCGCCTCCTTCTCCCCCTCCTCAGTCCCTCGGCCCTGCACACACACTGCTCATCTGAAGAAGTGGCTTTCCTCATGAGAGGAGCAGAGGCTCGCCAGTTAGGGAGCACCCTTCCTCAAGATGAAAGCTACAGTGAGACTGGGCACCTAGAGTCAAAAGGTCTGGTGGGGCCAAGGTGAGAGATGGAGTGTGTCCATTATTAAATGTGTATAAAATTTAATTTTGGAGTGTGTCCAAAATTAAATGAGTTTGTTTTACAGCAGGCCGACATCCAGCTAGAGTCTAAGGAGAACTTCCTGAGAGCATCCCTCAGGCTTTCTCTAGCAGGAAGGCCCCGGGGAACAGCCAGCCCTTGTCCCCCAACATTTCCCAGCCTACCCCGCAGTCAACATCACAGGCTGGTCGTCTGCATGGACCCATCCTGAGTGGTAGAGGGAATCCTGCCTGTCCGGAATAAGGCATCATAGCAGCCATTTGCCCTGAGGCTAGAGACCAGTGACCACCCAAGCTGCTCAGTGTTCTCTGAGGATGCCACCAAGAGTCAGCTTGGACCCCAGGAAGTTGCCACTGATGCAGATCTGCCCTATGCCAGGCCACATGCTATCTTAGCCTTGACATAGCACCGTAAGTTCAGTTCTGAGGTCTCCCCATCCTATAGTTTCAATCCAGCACTCATTGGGCCCAAATCATGGAGGCAGTAAACAGTTTCATCTAGAAACAGCCCTGGCTAGTTGACATCAGATGCACATCTCGACCATCCTCCTCGAACAGCCATTGCCAACAAAAGTGGGGTTAGAGGCTCACCCCGTCATCCCCAATCCTCCAGGACTGGTTTTATCATCCACGTTTGCAGAATGAGATACTGAGGCCAAAGCAAACAGTCCCCCAGCAAATCAGAAGTGGCAGTCCCAAGTCCTCTTTCCTGTCTCTAGGAGGCTGTAGCATAGTAGAGGTTGAGGCTAGACCCTAGAAAGACCTTGAAGCACCAGGCTAGGAGCTCAGGACCTAGAGAAGGAGAGTGGGAGTCGCGAATTGTCACCGGTACACCCTGTGAAGTGCTCAGCCCCAGAGGGCAGGGTGTGGGGACAGGATGACAAAGCCCAGGAGAAATCCAGCGCTGGGTGCGGCCAGGTTATGAAACGGCCTCTCAGTTCAGCCCCAAGTTCTCTGCTTCCCCACAGCAGAGGCTGCAGTGACCACCTTCAGCATTCAAAAGCCCCCCACCCCCAGCCTCCACAGGATGTGCAGGGAGCAGCCCTGGGGACGGAAGTCTGAATGCAATGAAGAGAAGGGAAGGCAGAGGTGACCCACCAGACTCTAAGTCCCTTGACCGTGGGACCACAGGAAGAGTGATCTCCTCGGCATCCCATTGCATCAGTGGGACCTAGAGACACAGGCCATTCTGTTCCCGGTCCCGGAGTTTCCTGCTGCAATCAGACCCCTCCCCTAAATCTGAATTGCAGCCTCTCCTTCCTCTCACAGACCTCAGCCTCCTCATCTGTTAGGTTCTGGGCTCTACCTCCCACCCTCGGGCTGTTCGGGTCCGTCCCCAGCCTTGGGGCCAGGACCCAGTAGGGGCAGTGGTTATGGTAAGGTGGAAGGGGTAGGTTTCTCAATGGAGCCAAAAGCAGGTGAGCAAAGAGAGGAGGCAGGCAGTGTTATCAGCTTCGCTCCACTCATTCTCTCTCTCTCTCTCTCTCTCTCTCTCTCTCACCCCCCCCTCTCTTTCTCCAGCTCCACAACAATGCGACAGCAGGCCAGGCGGTGACGGTGGAGCTCTTCCTGACCATGCAGCTGGTGCTCTGCATCTTCGCCTCCACAGACGAGCGACGCAGTGACAACCTGGGCAGTCCCGCTCTCTCCATCGGTTTCTCTGTCACCCTGGGCCACCTCCTTGGGGTAAGCCATGGCCACAGGTTCCAGCCACCCTGCAAGAACCAAAGCATACATGTCCCCCGAAGAAATATCCACCCGGGACACTCTAGAGATAGACACACACAACTCTCCAGAGGGACAGTCACACAGAATGCCCAAGGAAGACACATAATCTGAAGCTCTGGCTCCCAGACACCCCTAAATAGCAGATAGCCCTCCAGTCTCAAGAAATACAAGCCCAGGAATTCATCACCCACAGGTTTCCCACACACACACTTTTTGTTTTGTTTGTTTTGTTTTTCGAGACAGGGTTTCTCTGTGTAGCCCTGCCTGTCCTGGATCTTGCTCTGTAGACCAGGCTGGCCTCGAACTCACAGAGATCCGCCTGGCTCTGCCTCCTGAGTGCTGGGATTAAAGGCGTGCGCCACTGCCCGGTTCTGCTTTTTTTTTTTTTTTCTTTTTAAGACTGGGTCTCACTATGTAACCTTGACTGTGCTGAAACTCAGTATGTAGACCAGGCTACCCTTGAACTCACAGAGATATTGCCTGCCTCTGCCTCCTAAGTGCTGGGACGAAAGATGTGGCCGCTGGCCCCACCTTCCATGGGTTCCCTTTAAGCTGAGTCCGAGCGTCCCAAGCACTGGAACGGGGATGAGGGTGTGCTGTCCTGTTCTCTCTGCTCACTTCCCACTACAGATCTACTTCACTGGCTGCTCCATGAACCCAGCCCGCTCCCTGGCTCCCGCAGTCGTCACTGGCAAGTTTGATGACCAC